TTCATCTTCACACAATTGAAACTCCATCCCCATTAAAAACTAATTCCTCCCTCCAGCCTCTGGCATGAACATTCTACCCACTGTCTCTATAGATTTGACTACTCTAGGTCCCTCATAGAAGTGGGATCATATAGGATTTGTCAGTATCATCCATGATGTCACATGTCTCAAAACCTTCTTCCCTTTTAAGTCTAGATAATATTCCACTGTATATATAGACCATTTTTGCTTTATTGTGAATAATGCTGCTAAGAACACTGGTATACAAATATCTCCTTAAGAGCTTGCTTTCAATTCATTTGGGTATGTACTCAGGAGTGGAATTGCTGGATCACATCACAATTCTAAGTTTAATTCTTGGGAAGCCACACTGTTTTCCATAGCAGCTACCCCATTTTACATTCCCATCAGCAGTGCACAAAGGTTCCACATTCTCAGTGTGTGAGCTGATGTTTATTTTCACTTCCTTAATGACTCATGATGTTGAGCACCTTTCCAGTCTATAGTCATTCTTAAGTGGGAGTTGGCAAAATGTTTCTGTGAAGGGTAAGACAGTAAATATTTTAGGCTTTGTGGGCCAGATTAAATTCTGCCATTGTAGCAAAAAGGCAGCCAGAACTAGTACATAAAGTGAATGCATGTGGCTGTGTACTAAGAAAATTCTGTAAAAGCAGAGGCAAGCAATATTTGAGTCCAGGCTCATAGTTTGTTCATCCCAGCTCTTAAAGCAAGGAGCATGTGGGTTATTAATGTTGGCATTTTATTTCTTCTGTGGGATTATGAAGTCTCTGAGGGCATGGGCTCTATCTTGTTCACTTCTGTAACCCTTTGAATATAACAGATGCTCAGTTTATTTATATTTATCTATGTGTATATAAATTATACATATATGTACATACATGTATATACTGAGGTGTATGACCTGTATATATATATATATATATATATATATATATGGCACTTGTTATATTCAATATATTTATATATAAATGTATATATAAACTGGCAACTGTATATTCAATATATATGTGTATATATGTGTGTGTGTGTGTGTGTGTGTATACACACACACACACACATATGTGATTAAACCCAGGGATACTAAACCACTGAGCTACATCCTCAGCCCTTTTTATTTTGAAACAGGGTCTTGCTAAGTTGCTGAGGCTGGATTTGAACTTGTGATCCTCCTGCCTCAGCCTCCTGAGCTGATGGGACTATAGGCATGCACCAACGTGCCTGGTTCAGGTAATATTTTTTTAATTGATGTTACCCACTTCTCTCCATGGAGAAGAAAGCCAGTGGTGTGTCTGTCTTCTAGTACCTGCTGCAGAAATCATTTCATTTCAAAAAAGTTGCTGGGAAACAGGCTGCCATTGCCCTCTTCCCTCCATTTTGCCTCTATCCAGGACACTCTAGAACATTGTCTGGCAAATTCTCAGAGCCAAAGGAGGTGATATGAAAAACCATCATGGGGCTGAGTGGGTAGGAGATAGATCTAGCAAAGGGAAAACTCCAATTTGGGTCTCCCATCATTTGGAACCTTCCATTTGGAACCTTCTACAACCTTAGGTGTAGCTAAGTAGTGCTGATCAAAAGAAGTGCATATTGGAATGGAAAATGTTAGTGTCTTCCACTATGCCTCTTTTCTTTCACAGTTGTTAACCACCTATTTGTGCTTATTGTTCCCATCATGTTAAAGCACCTCAGATTGGAATCTGGATCTGACTGCCTTCTTCTCCACAAAGGCACCTTTCCTGCATTAGGCTATCTGAACCTGAATGGGCTCCCCCAGCTGGCCAATGTGGGAGTTGGTGGTTTTCTCTAAATGCTCTTCCAGTCTCAGCATACTTACTGGACCCCATCCCTGGAGCAGGTAATGAAATCAAAGGTCCTAGCCATTGAGGAGCATGGAGGATTTTAGGAAATACAGGTAGCAAGGCTGATGGCAATGTATGATTGCAGAAGTGCTTTTATGGAGATGCAGAAAGCCAGAGGAGAGACACCTGTGGGGAAGGGTTTGGGAGAACTGCAAGGAGCTAATGATGCTGGAGATGGAGTTTGAAAGGGTGGCCAGATGCCCCAGTGAGGGTTATCTCTCACAGCAAGCCAAGAATCTTTGAGGGGCAGGAAGCCTAGAGTCCCTTGTTGGTGGATAGAAATGTACACCAAAGCTGGAGGGCTGTGGACCACTAGTGGCCTTCACCATTTCTGTCTTGTGTGCTGAACTCTCTTTGTGGGTTCTAGTCCTTCCCCACAGTGGAACAGGCAGTTCAGGAACACACACAAACAGTGATGCCCATGCTACCTCTTGGCTTCTCTCTCTTAGACCCTCTCTCCAAAATAGGCTTCTCATAGCTGCTAGTTCCCATCCCACTGGTTCCTATTTTCTATTAGGCTAGTCCTCTTTGAAAGCTATATGTTCTCTCCCACTCAAAGACACACACTCAAAGGTGGTGTCCAATTTATGGATTTCACAGAGCTCCCAAATCCATGCATAAATGCTGGGTCTGAGATTTGTGCTCCAGCTGAGTCTGGCTGACTATTGCCTTCCCCATTCCTTGGGCTGTTTCCTCTTGTGGCTACAGCTGTTACTCTAGGATTCCAAGCCAGAGAGATGATTATCTGCATTTTCTGAGCACCCACTGTGTTGTGGGGGCACTGGTTGGTTCTTCCCTCAGGAGTCCTGGCCTAGCACAGCTGGGAGGAAGCACAAACAGGGAACACACAAAATAAAGGAAAGTTCAAGAGCCACAGGCTAGGAATCCAGTGAGGAGAGACAGATTAGGCTGTGCTTTTGGGGGAAAGAAGACTGGCCATTCTGGACCTGGGCAAAGGGAGAAGACATTGCTAGTAGTCAGGATAATCTGAGTAAAGGTATATATGACAGGGCATGAGCAGGAAACAGGCTCAGTTTGGGTAAAACACAGTAGATATGAAGCCCAGTGGAAGCTGGGAAGGTGGGGTGGGAGAAGCAGAATGTAGGTCTGTTTTAGGTTGGATGTTCTGGATGTGCATAGGGGCTGGATCAGAGTAAGGATCAGGGAGGAGGCCCACAGGTGGGTCGTTGCATTATGCCTGACCTAGGGGCCAGATGCTGAACTAGGTCAGTGTCAGTGGGGAAGGAAGATGGACTGAAACAGATCACCCCAGTGGAAATGCAGAAGTTGATAATGGGATTTTACCTGTCCCTAACTGGGGAAGCACTGCCTTCTTTTGGCTCTGATTGTCCAGAAAGGAAGTGCCACATGGGAGAAGTCCAGGTGTGGATAAAACTCTAGAGGCCATTTTAGGCCATTGGTCATCAGAGTAGAACAGATGGGGGTGGCCTCTATGATCTATATCTGTGAGCAGGGCAAATTCTGTTTTGAAGTGGCTGAGGTGAGACTATAGCTGGGCTCAGTGACCTAGGAGAAGCTACTTCAGTGGTCTCAAATCATTCACAGGTTTATGGGCACACAGTGCCAGATCTGCCTCCAGAGTCCTAGTTCAAGTAGGTCTGGAATGGGGCCTGATAGTTTCTATTTCTAAAGAGTTCCCTGTTTGTGGACTAAAGTTGAGGTTTCCTGGTAGTTGGACTTTTTCCAAATGGGTTGTGGGGGTGAGTTGGCCTGAGTGAGGACTGTGAAGAAATAGAATGGCCAAAATAATCCCTGGGTAAACAGGGTGTTGGCTTGGCCAGCTGGGAGTTCAGGGTCTGTCTGGAGGGCTCCCCCAACCTCTTCCTAATTAACCTGCCTTCATCTTTTAGATCTGAGTGGACACTGCTCCCATGTATATTCTGTCCCAATTTCTACCCGGGGCCAGGTTCACTTGTAGCCCCCTACCTGCCCAAGGCATGCTCGACTTTTCCTTTTTGGAAGTTGGAACATCTTTCAGTTATGTATTGGTTTGTGTGCATTCAAACCACAGGCTGTGTCTGCTTTACTTAGTGAAGCTCAGGGCAGCATCCAATGAATATATGTGGATGGAACAAGTAGAACAATGCTGTAATTTGGATTTGAAATGTCCACCAAAGGCCAATGTGCTGAATGTTCAGTCCCCAAAGTGGTGCTATTGGGAGGTGCTGGAACCTAGTGGAAGGAAGTTAGGTCATTGGGATTGTTCCCTGGAAGGGAATATTGGGAGTCCAGGCCTTCCTTTACCTCTGCTTATAGTTGCAATGAAATGAACAGCTTGACTCCCCCACACAGTCCTGTCATGATGTTCTCCCTTGCCAAAGCCCAAAAGCAATGGAACCAACCACATACTGGAACCTCTGGAACTGTGAGCCCGAATAAACCTTTCCTCCTTATAAGTTGTTTAACTTAGGTATTTTACCACAGTGATGGGAAAATGACAATCCAGAGTTTGACAAAGGACATTTTTGGTTCACACAATTATGAGCATTTTTCTAAGGAAGCTGTGTGGACAAAGACTAGGGATATCTGGTCCTCAGTGCCTACCAGCAAGTTCTGTGAGCCTCTCATCTAGCTGGGACTCTCCCCCACTAGTTCTAAGATTGACTCCAAAGCTCTGTCCTAGTCTAAACTCATTCTTACTTCTCTATTTAGCCTGGTTCTCCTCACACTTGCTCCCTGGCCCCCACCCCAAACCAGCCTACTTGTTTCTTTCACTGAATCGAAGACACCATTATTTTATGCACTGCTAAGAAAGTCACACTGCTAATTAAACTAGGTCAAGCTGCTGACTGTGACACTGTTATCCTGAAATGCCAGAGATTTTTGCCTATTGAATGTTTACCTTTCTAGGTGCAACTAAATGCATTACTTGCCCTGCAGAAGCCATGCCACATCCCTCTGAGCCTATACCACTTCATCTGAAGTTTGTGTCTAATTTCATGCCTATTATTATAGTGGCTTATGAACTCAGCTTTGCTATTCTAAATGTATCAGGGGCAAAGATGGTGTCTTATTTATGTTTATATCCCACTGCCCCACCCTCCCAGCATGGTTTCTCCTCAGGCAGAGGTAATACCCCAATAACACAAACTGCAGGGCTTGCACACTTTCACTTTATTGTAGTTTCCCACGTACCCCCTGCTCTTCAACAAAGGAAAAAAAACTTGAAATTACATTTCAATTAGGTGGAGAAGAAACTATATTCTACAAACAGATAATCATCAAAAGATAGAAAAGCCTAGATTATTATATCTGCTATGCCCTTTTGAAGTTGCTTGATGGATTTTATGAGTGTGATGTGCAGGGATCTCTCTGCATCATCTCATGATTTTCTGCCCAAACTCAAAGAAGATTAAGGAGGCTCCCTTTTCTTTGGTTTACCATCAACCAGCCTGATGTCCCATGTTAGATAAGAGCTAAATGGCTAATATGGCATGTCATTGAGCCAGAACACCACTGTCACTATAAATGACAAGACTCTGCTGATAAAAGGAAATGTTTTATGAAACAACATTGCAGGTGGGCACTGGTAGAGTCCCTGAGAGACAACCTGGAAGGAAGTAAAAAACCAGCTGTGCCTTCCAGAATGGCAGGGATCATAGTAATTTATGCCCTCGTGTTTTTTTTTTTTTTTTTTTTGCTCCAAACTGTGTTGATATGAAATGTACATCTGAAGTCTCATTTACAACTTCTGCTTTTCTTCTAGGATATTGTCAAAGCCATGGTTCCTTGAACAGACTCTAGTGGCTTCCACTCTAGTACTGGTTTGCATGATAAATATTCTGGTCTCCCATTCTCAATCAGCAAATGGATTGTTTCTTACAGGTACCTTGATTACGTACTAGAATACTAGAATGAAATGGATGATTTCAGGGTGGTCCTTGTGATAAAGAACCTTGGGTGGGGAGAGGGATTGTGAGTAGAGAGATACAGAGATATAGAGGGAGAACAAAACAGTACAATATGAAGCTGCCTGTTTTAAGAAATTCAAATCCAATGCTGTGAAAAGAGGAATGTCTGCTGTTCTTGTCACCCTCACAGGCACAGAGGGAGCAGGGCATGGTCTCATTTAACTAGCAAGAAGTCTTAAGCTCAGAAGGAACTCATTTGAAGGCTATTAGTTCATCAGTGCACAGGGGAAAAGGTTAGTGGCCAGAGCACACACTGAGATGGCCCAGTCTCCAGGGTGCCTCACTTGACCTTCCGCAGGTGGTGAAAGCTCTGTACGGTCCTCTCCACGGCGTCATCCATGGTGACCAGTGGCTGGTACCCCATGACCTTTTTGGCTTTTTCACAGCTGTAGTAGTGGAAGGTGCCAGCCAGTGCAACCCGCATTGGTGTGAAAGTGGGCTGGAGCTGGATGATGGGACTGACCACCATTACCAGCAGGGACACCAGAAGGGCCAGGTAGTAGGCTACCCAGTAGGGGATGTGGTATTTGGGGGCCTCATAATTAAGGCCTGTCAGGATGCGGGACAGGAACGTCCAGAAAGGGATGGGTTCATCGTTGGTGATGTGAAATGCCTGGCGAGGGAACAAGAAGTTAGAAACCTCTCCTCAGCTGCAGGGGTGAGAAGGCAGCTGGGACCCAGAGCCCAACCACAGCTACTGGCTCATCCAACACTCTCACTGTGGGAAACCAGAGGCTGCTCCCTGTCTACCCACCCGTCCAGCTCTTCTTCAGGGCAGCTAAACACTGAGGTGTATATTTGGCCTCCTCATGTGTCTGGCTGCTCCAGCATGTCACACGGTCTGTCCTCAATTCTGTAAATGGGCAGCATTCAGAGGTAGAGAGGAAAGGCAGTGCAAATTTTATCTATGGTCTAGGATTTTAAATGGAATTTAACTTGCCCTAGGAAGGTACATTCATTAATTTAGTAATTGTCAATCATGGTAAAACTCATCTTCTTATCTTCGTATGCAATGAATGGGTGGTTCATTTCTGGAACATACTATGTTTGTTCTAAACCAAAAGCCACTCCCCCTTTACTCCCAACCACCTGCAAGGTTATGAGTGGGAAAACTGGCAGAGGTGCAGAGTGAAAGAGGACCAAGCAGTGAGGAAGGATTCCAAATCTAGGTGTGAGAACCAAAGATGATGGGGGTGCCTAGGAGTGGGAGATAGGGTAAAGGGACTAATCGGGCTCTCCGATCTTTGCTTAAGAGCTGTTGTTTCCTGCCATATCCACCCCACTTCAGAGAAGGCCATCATCCCAACCCTGATCTGCCCACTGGACACCAAATGCCAGTAGATTCAGCTATATTACCCTTGTGGAGGGGTGACAGGCCTGAGTGATGTGAGCATGTGTGGGCCATGGGGAAAATGGAAACTTGAGGAACAAGTGGGAGAAATGGTAGGAAGCAAGCACACGATCACATGGTCACGCTCCAGAGAAGGTATGGTTTGGATATGGACTGCTCCCCAGAGGTTTGGGTGTTGAAAGTTTGGTCCTTTGCTCGTTGTACTACTGGAAGGTTATGGAAACTTTAGAAGGGTGGGGCCTAGTTGAGACAAGTAGGTCACTAGGGGCATGTCCTTGAAGGGAATATCTTATCCCTGGTCATTCATTCGTTCTCTAGCTTCTATCTCCAAACTTTCTAAACTCCTTCCATAAAGCAGTTACAAAAGCTTCTGAACCACATGGTCAGAGGTAGAGTGCTATAGATTGGATATGGAATGCCCCCCCAAAGGCTCATGTGTTGAAGGCTTGGTCTCCAGAGTGGTAATATTGGGAGGTGATAGAAACTATAGGCAGTGGGGCCTACTTGGAGCAAGTGAGTCACTGGGGTATATCCTTAAAGGGTATATTTTCTCCAAGGGCCCTTCCCCTCTCTCTTTGCATCCTGGATGACATCATGTTCTGCCTCACTACAGGCCCCCAAATAATGGAACCAACCAATTGTGAGCCAAAATGATTCTTTCCTCCTTTAAGTTGTTTTTCTCAGACATTTTGCCATTGAATGGAAAGCTAACCAATACAATGGGGAACAAAGCTCTTAAGCTCTGCTCACTCCCACCTAATTAACTCATGCATTTTGTGATGCTCATTGACACAGCTCTCCTTACTAGAGGGCCTCAACACTGGCCCAAGGGGATAATAAAGCAGACTTGTCATGATATAGGATCACAGGGACAAGCAGTGAGCAAACCCAATGGCAGAGAGAAGAAATCTGAAAAAAGGCAAACATGCAGGGGCAGGAAGTGGTGAGTCAAGCTGGAAGAAGCAGGTGCCTTACCTTCCCACCCAGTGCTGCATCCTGGGAGAGGTGCTCTGCAGCCAGGATGTGTCCATGGACTACATTCTCCACGAAGGTGAAATCTACCAAGTTCTTCCCGTTTCTGCAGGTGCACAAGGAATGGTTCAGCTGTGCTGGTAGTGCTCAGCTGTGAGCCTCATGGAGCCCCTGCAGCACAACTACTGTCTGCCCTGGCAGTGCCCACCCCCAGCATACCTGGATGTCTATAACAGATAAGGAAGTAGAGAGGGCTAGGACTCTTGGAGCCGTTACACTAGTGGAATATTTGAGGGCCAAGCAATGAATGTGGAAGTGGGGTACCCTGCCCACACCATCCCAGCACAGTCAGCACTGGTACTGTCTGTTTAAGCTTCAATTTGGGCAGCGACTCTTCAACAACTACTTCCCAAGATATACTGGGCCAATGCACAGCTCTTGGTAATTCCTCAAAGTGATAAGTGAGGGTGGTAATGAGGCTTAGCAAGATGCAGGGATAAGAGTGGGAAATGAAAGGGAGGGATTATGGGGTAGGAAGGATGATAGAATGAATCGGACATTATTACCCTTACATGACCAGTGTGATTGTACATCTCGTACAACCAGAAGAATGAGAAGTTATACTCCATTTATGTATGATGTGTCAAAATGCATTCTACTGTCATGTATAACTAGTTAGAACAAAAAAAAAGATAAAAAGAGGGGAAAATGAAGGAAGAAAAGGTGCATTTGGGAGATAGCCACAGTTGATGTCACCGGTGGGAGCCCTCACCACTACTTTTCTTGAGAAGGAATGTAACACCTACATCTGACTTCTAGAAACAAAGATTTGAGGCTTTAGTGTGTCACTCTGGGCCAATTGCTTCTGCTCTGAGCCTTGGTTTCCATAATTTCCAAATAGGGAAAGAGATATTTTCCCAGCCTTCCTGAGAAGGCACACCAGGTTAAATACTGGCCTTCAAAAAAAAAAAAAAAAAATCATGTCCTTCTGGATCTTTTGAATGCAACCTTATATAGAAATGGGGTCAGATTTTCCTTCCCCACCAGCAAAAGGAACAAACCTTACTAACATCTGAATTTTGGACTTCTGGATTCCACATCCATGAGACAATCAATTTCTGTAGTTTTAGGCATTAACTTTTTGGTAATTATGGCAGCCCCAGGAAATGAATGGAGGTCACTGCTATGGTCTGAATGCTTATGTGTCCCCAATATCCCCGATGTGATGCTATTAAGAGGTGGGAAGTTTGGGAGTTGATTAGGCCACGAGAGCTCCACCCTTGTAAATGGGACTAATGTCCTTATAAAAGAGGCTTGAGGGAGCCTCTTTGCTCCTTATGCCTTGTGAGGAAAAATAGCAGGTGCCATCTTGACAAATTGGCTCTTATCAGATACCAAATTTGTTCATGCCTTGATCTCAGACTTTCCAGACTCCAGAACTTTGAACAATATATTTCTCAGTTACTATTATGGTTTAGATGGTTTGAGGTGTCCTCAAAAGACTCACATGTGAGACAATGCAAGGAGGTTTATAAGTGAAATGAATGGGTTGTAAGAGGTTTGATCTAATCAGTGAATCCCTGACAGGGATTTACTGGCTGGTAACTGTGTGGCTGGAGGAGGTAGGTCACTGGGTGCATGCTTTTGGGGTATACATTTTGTACCTGGTGAGGGATTCTTTCTCTGCTTCCTGGTGTCCTGTCCTGAGCTGCTTCCCTCTACCATGTCATGATGTTCTATCTCAACTTGGGCTGTGTGGAATGGAGTTGGCTGTCTATGGACTGAGACCTCTGAAACCTTGAGCCCCAAATAAATTTTTCCTCCTCAGTTTTTGTCAGATCTTTTAGTCACAGTGACAAAAGAGCTATCTAAAACAGTTACCCAATCTAAGGTATTTTGTTGTAGCAGCCTGAACAAAGTAAGACTGGCATGGAAAGCTGCTTGTGCACTGCATGGGTCAGGGAGAGGTGAAGAGCAATGGGGGCAAACTCACCCAATCATGAACTTCATCTTGCCCTTCTTGGCTGCCTCAATGAGGATGGGGACCAACTGGGGATCTCCTGGGCCAAAAATGCCATGAGGACGGATAGCTGTGGTTAAGAAATTTCTCTCAGGATCATTGGCGTCCAGAACTGCCTGAAGGAGAACAGGAGGAGTGTGTCCATTGCAAACTCTCAGCCCAAGCTAAGATGGCTCCTCACTAGCTGGGTACCATTTACCATAGGGGACTGACAGATGATGTGTTCTGTTGGTATACAGACTACTGGGCAGTAGTCTGCTTTGGGATGACAACCCATATCAGTCACCAGTACCTCTATATTCCATCCATCATCCAAAATGTGACATGCAGGAGAAAACTGAGTAAAAACCAGTGAGCTCAAATTGAAAGGCTTGGGTTTGGGTTCAAAGGCTAAGATGCACAAATGCTGCCAGGTGGAATTGTATCTTGGCAGCAGTTTGTGGAAAAGGTCGAAGGGTTCCAGTTATTGAGCCAGCAGTGAGCCTTCAGCAAGGCTACTGCCACAAAAAGGGCTTGGGACTTAATGACATGTGCCAGACTGGGCTGTTTCGTCAATGCTGAGTGTACCATCTCATAGGAAAGGACTTAGACAAATGCAACTGGGCCCAGGAGGAGGGTCAGAGTGAGTGAAGAGTATGGAGACCCCTGGGGAAACAGGGCAGCAGTGATGAGAGTGAAAGATGTAAGTGGCAAGTGCCCCAGAAAAGGCAGCCATTCTTCCTGTTACCACCTCAGGAAGAGAGAGGTGTCTTCTGTGGGGCTATGTGAACACAATAAAACCCAAGGGTTTTAAGTACAGTCATGTGCCAAATAATAATGCTCCTGCAAGTCTGAAATCACCTAACAATGCAGTCCCCCAGTTAACCTGTACAGGAAAGAGGTTTTGCTTCAAAAGTAACAAAAAATCTTAAAGGAGTTGTTGCACTCTTGGTAAAACAGGGATGATTATGGTACCCACCCTGACAAGACTGTAAGAAGGCTAAATGTGACAACTCAAGCCAACTGCTTGGGAATTATAGTAATTGTTGGGGTGTGTCATCTAGGAGTTCTATTCCATGGTGGCAAGATGCTTGTACAAGTTTCAGTCCCATCAACTGTTATTTATTGATTAAATTTATAATAATCAGAGCTGGCCAACAATGGAGAAGCTGCCTCTTTCAACAGATTCCCAGAGTTGCTCTGCCTCTTGCTGTCAGGCCTGTGGTCCTCATGACCATAAAAGTAATGACTAAATATGGATTCCAAAAATGTCTACCAAGGTTCATCTTGATTACTAAAGGCATGTGACTGAAGGGGTCCTGCACTGACATCAAATTTGGTTTATTATCAGTAAAGAGATTTAAAACCCACACAGGTATTGATCTTGGCTGAAACTAGGCTCTAGGTAAGTTACTGCTAGTGTCACCCTCAGGCTTTGCTGATTCCAGTTGAGCACCCAAAAGTCCACACAAGCAAGACACTGATGGTCTGAGCCCAAGATGCCATTTGGAGTTCCTGAGCCTACATGGGCTCAGATGATAGTTACTAAAGTTGTCAGGGCCCAGCAGAGGCTTCAGTGTTCCTTGGGCATAGACTGAACACAGCCTGGACATGGAACTTCAGCTTATCAAGGCCAGGCCTGTACATCCAGGTTTGGGGAGGTCTCTGAGTCTCTCTACACCCAGTTCTACTGGGGCTTTCTGAGCTGAAGTAATAGAAAACAGCTGGGAGACACCTGGCTGTCAGATCACAGAGGACTCAATGCCAGTTTGGTGGTAAGATCCAGTTCATTAAGCACTGGCATTGAGGGAAGACCTAAGTGGGTGTGGCATGCTACAAATGCCTGGGAAAGGTAAAGTCATAGCTATCCAGTTAAGGTGGGCTGTCTGGGGCTCAGGACACCCATAGCCCACAGCTTAGGACTGTCTCAGGGTGATGGTAATAGCTCATCCAGGTCCCATGCAGCCTGAAAGCTCAGTGGCTATTATTCAGTCCAGTGGCTGCCTAATCTAGCCACATGCAAAGTAGGTGCCCCTTGATGAAGGTTCTGGATCCCTCTCTGCATCAATAATCTGGTGATGATAACACTGCCTGCCTATGGGATCATTGTGAAGGTAAAAGGAGGCAGGTCCCAGAAAATACTCAGACTAGTATCCAGGAATATTAAGCTATACTGTTCTTATTTTTTTTTTTTTTTTAAAGAGAGAGGCAGAGGCAGAGGCAGAGACAGAGAGAGAGAGAGAGAGAGAGAGAGAGAGAGAGAGAGAATTTTTTAATATTTATTTTTTAGTTTTCAGCGGACACAACATCTCTGTTTGTATGTGGTGCTGAGGATCAAACCCGGGCCGCACGCATGCCAGGCGAGCGCGCTATCACTTGATCCACATCCCCAGCCCCAATATACTGTTCTTATTTTAAAATTTAATTCACCTATACATTTTATTTCCCAAGTTTGATACTCAGGCCTCACAATGCTAACTTTCTATGTTCCCACATTTTTCTTAAGAATATAAACCCTTCAGATGTCCACTCACTCAAGTGGGTCTAAGGTACATACTCTCTCTTGTAGGATCTTAGTCTCTGTGTAGTAGTCTATGGGTTTCATGGCATAAGGAAGGTCTTCGGTTCCATTTTTGATGTCACTGCCCTCAAAGATGACACTGGCACTGCTGGTCAAAATGAGTTTCTGGCAGAGGAAGATTTAAAGAAAAATACGAGTCATAAATTATTACAATTCCAACAGCCTGAAAGTCGTGCATGTGTGAGAATGAAATGGCGCCTGTTCCCTAGCCTCACATGTGAGTGTCTGCAATATTTATTAGCTGCAATGTCTTTGCTTTTTGGTCCTTCTTAAGATAATCACCACCTTCTGCAGCTATGTGGATTCCAGATACTTCATGGTATTACAATCTGAAACACTGGACCTCCTGTTTTTTTCTATCTTGTCACACCCGAGGGACAGAACAGATTCCCATTATTCATAGTATATCACTATCAGATATATTCTTCATGGGGAAAAAACAGCCCACAAACTTCCCTCCCAGCACGGGCACAGATAGAGGCCAGCACAGCAGAGGAGGGAGCATGGGAATAGGCTCAGTTCAGATACAAACACTGAAAGCATGGCTTGCTGCATGCTGCAGGTGGCGCTGAACAGTAAGAAAAGAATTATACAGTGACTGGGCTGAACTGGTCATCTGTGTGGAGAAAAAGACTTGATTTCAACCTCACTGTATATAAATATAAACATAAATCGATTCCTGGTAGATAAAAGGACTTCAATGTGGGAAGCAATGCTTTAAATTTTTAAGATAAAATATATTAAATAATCTTTTGATCATCGTATTGGAAATATTTTCTTAAATACAACACAGAAAGTCATTTCCTACACCCCTACTCACTAAGCTATTCTTCTCTTTCAGCAAATGAACAACAGTTCTGTATTCCAAGATGAACAGAACCCCAAAAGCATAATACTGGAAAAGAGCAAGTTGCAGGAGGACATGTTCAATATAATACCATTTTATAAGGTTTTATAACATGCAGAATAATACTTCATACTGACTGCATATGGAACAAACAAATGATAAATCTAGATTCAGAATATTGTTACATGTGGGTAAAGAAAGGGAGCAATGTTACTGAGGAAGGGTACACAGGGGACTTAATCTCTGCCAAGATGCTGAGATCTTTAAAGACTTTGATGAATGTATGGGTGTTGTACTATTCTGGAATCTTCTTTTAGGCCTGTTCCCTTCCATTTAACCATAGCAGTAGTGGACTTTGCAGAACTTCAGTTATATAAGACAAAGTGGAGAGTCTGGAACTTGGCATCAAAGGATATGCTTGAAATCCCACCTGTTCCATTTACTGGTAGACTTCACTTAGCCCCTGGCTACCTATCAAGGAGAAAAATAGGAGGGAACCACAGAAGGGCAGGGTGTCTTTTCAAGTGCAAAGTGTAGGAGTTGCTATTATTAACACTGATGGGAGCCCACCTATTCTTGCTGGGCCAGACAATCATGCCAGAGACTAGCTGATAGTACCCAGAAGGAGCACTGGGAGAAGGATTCCCAGCTCACTGAAGGCTTTTGTTCTAGTTATAATTGTCTCTTGCAAGCATCACCACGGGGAAGCTGTTATATCCACTGGCTTGAGTCCCACAAAGGTCATTCCCAGGACCAAGATTTGTAACAACAGTGCAGAAAGCTACCACATGGCACAAATTCATATCTTCTCAGATCCAGCAATCCCACTTCTGGATGCAGACATCAAAGAAATGAAAGCAGGGCCTGGGACAGATGTTTTTACAACCTTATTCATAGCAGCATCGTTCACAACAGCCCAAAGGTGATGATAACACAAATGTCCACAGGTAGATGAACAAAATGTGGTCTATTCATAAGATGGAGTATATTCAGCTTAAAAAGGTGAGAAAGTCCCAACACACACCACAACATGGATGAACCTTGAAGACATTAGATTAAGTAAAATGAGCCCATCATAAGAGGACATATATTGTATGAGGTCCCTATAGTAGTCAGGTTTCATACAGACAAGACAGTAAAATGGTAGGTGACAGAAACTGGATGGAGGGAGGAATGGAGAATTGTTCAATGGAGGCAGAGTTTCTGTTGGGGAAGAAGAAAGTCCTGGAGATAGATGGTGATGATGGCTGCACAACAATGGGAACAGCCATAAAGCCACTGAACATATACCTAAAATGGGTAAAAAATGTTATGTGTATTTTGTCACAATAACAATAAAAGCAATTATCTCAATTTTGTAGTTCTTTACTCAAAGACTAATAGGCTTAGGGTCCTTAGATGGTCTACTGATATGTGGTTAGAATATTAAATCTCTAACAGGCCTTGGCATGATTGTAAGTGACACCCAGGGTTTAAATGCTAAGATCTTTAAATTTAAGAAACAACAGACTGTGGCTAAGCCCAGGAAGACTGTAAGAGGAACTGTAGCTCCCACCCTTGCATGGGGTCACATGTTCCTGACAGCACTTTCCACTGCCTTTGCCTTACCTGAACTCCAGCCTTTTTGCAAGTTTCAATGACATTCTTGGTGCCAATGAAATTCACTCTATAAAAGAGCTCCTTGTTGTTACTGGATGGTGGGGGTGATGCACAGTGGAAAACTGTGTTTACACCTTTCAGAGCTGGGTACAGGTCCTCGAAAAGCAAACAAAGACAAAAGAATCATTTGTGCTCTGGGCAGGTCAACAGTCTTCTCCTATTCTGACTCTGTAATCTGTATCTAGTAGGCTGCTTGCCTTTTTATAATTCTACAATCAATATGGAAACACATTCTTGTAAAAGATTCAAACAATACAGAAGTGCATGCACTAGAAAGCAAGTTGTCCCTTTGACAACCCCCTTTCCACGAACTAGTCCCCAGTAAACAGAGTTTGGGGGCATTGGAAGACTATGGGATCTGGAGACAACACACTCTACATGTTTAGGGAATCTGGGGGAGGGGGTAGAACTCCCACTAGGACAAGGTGAGTTCATATGCAAAAATTATAAGTCATATGAAAAAGTCCTACACTATCAATATAGAGACCAGATACAATGTACAACCTGAAAGAGAGTTTAAAACACTAAATTTACTACTTAAAGGAATCTCCTGAGAGAAATGAGGCGGTGCATATTTGGGGAAGGAAATATATAAGTTGAATTAGGAACACCTTGTCATTATCAGAAAGTAAGAAAGATTGCCAAGACTACCAAGGACATGTAGAAGGTACTCAAGAGCCAACATGAAGAGGCCTCAACTGGCCAAAGAAGAGGTGGTTTGATCATCAGTAAGAACAACTCTTTGTGAGATAATCAAGTACAAGGGGAAGAACCAACCATTTAATATGTGCAAGGTACAAAGGTACAAGTGACCAAGGGAAGAGAAAATAAGGGTACATCACCATTTCACCAAATCTTGATGAAATAATGGGATCTAGGTATGATTACTATCAAAGAAAGAAAACTATGAATGATGTGTCAAGATTCACTAATCAATGTTTTGCCACAATTTCCTCTCTATTTATACAAACATGAATCTTGCCTCTGAAATTTTTATCATACAACTCCTAAGAACAAAGATGTTCTGAATAACCTCAAAACAGTGATCACAAGGCAAATTCCAACAGATTGGTTACTCCTATCTAACAATGAGTCTATATTCAAGTTTCCCTAATTGTGCTGACGATGTCCTTTATAGCTGTTTTTACCTGGAGTCTAGAACTCTGTTTTTTCTTTATCTTTTGTAATAGTGCTATTTTTCAAAGAGTCAAGTTGGTTATTTTACTGATTGTCCCTCAATGGGCATCTGTTTGTTTCCTCAGGATTATATTCAGGCTCAATAGTTTTGGCAAAAATTTCACATTGGTGCAGGTATATCTTTCTCAGGGTAGGCATACCTTGTGAGGCACATGTTTGTCCCATTGATTATGATGCTCAGTTGGAACGTTCACTGAAGTAGACAGCTGCTTGATTCTGGCCATCCAAAGGTAACTTTACTCCTTTGCAATCAGTAAATCATCTGTGAGGTGATCATCCCATGACTGATTTCAACATATATTGATTGATCTTGCCTGGAACACTTATCAATGGACTGGTTGCAAAATGGTAACATTCTCATGCTAAACATGTCTTTTATACTTATTAACTGTAATTCCTCTGTAAAGTAGAGCTTCCTTTCCACTCAAAACTAATTTTCTTTTCAGTATTTCTATGGTCACATACATTCTTTCTTTTTAATTCAATATATTAAAATCCACTACTATTACCATTTTCTCAAAGTTGGTCAACCTTCAGGTTGGCTACTTTGTCCTTTGGTCATGTCCTCATTAATTTGGTCCTAAGAAATTTGGGGTTCTGGTGATGTTGAGGAAAAGCTAACTCCAACTCAGTGTCTCCTACTCTGACAGACAGATCATTTCTGACACCCAGTGTGTGGAAAACCCCCTAAGGGTCTCCCTTTAAAATTGGATTTAAGCAAAAATGGAAATAATATACCAATAACCACAGCACAAGCAGTTGGGGGAATGTTTTGGAGAGAAGTTAAAAGTTGGCTAAGGATCCTGTCTCTTTAGAGGAGATGTAACAGTGATCAAAAAAAGAGTCAAAATCTCTATGTTTGTGGAGATGATGTTCTCTGGTGGAAAGAACAAATAAGGATACAAACAAGTGGATACTGAGTATATCAGCTCTTGCCAAGTGTTATACAGAAAGAATGCAGAGTAAGAGGATTAGGAGGGGCAGGCTGCTTAACATATAGTGCCCACAGATCTATAGGAAGTGAGGAAGCAGGCTCTATGCTTCATAAAACATTCCTGCAGGGAATGTGTGAGGCACTGGGTTCAATCCTTAGCACCACATAAACATAAACAAATAAAATACAGACATGCTGTCCATCTATAAGTATAAAAAAATTAAAAAAACAAAAAACAAATCCTGCAGAAAGGACAGCAAATGCAAAGTTTCTGAGGCAGAAACTTGGTTGGTCAGTTAGAGAAGCATTAAATGGCCAGTGTGACCGCAGCACAGCAATGAGGGGAAATATGGGAGGGAGGGAGGCTAGGGAGGGGTAGGGACATATTGTGCAAGTGGTGATGTTTGTTATTTGCTCTAAATGGGACTGGATGCCATTGGAGGTTGCAGGACAGAGGAGTGATAGAATCTCAGTTCTGCATTAAAAGGCTCCCTCTAACATCTAGGTGGGAGATGATGATCTATTATCCTTGGACCAGGATAGTATCTACAAAAAGGGTGCAAAGTTGCTGGATCACAGTAGAGTCAACAAGGTTTTCTGTTGAATGGGATGAGACAGAAAGGAATCAAAGATGAATCTGAGGTTTTTGGCCAATGAGACTGGAAAGACAGAGTGGGCCACTTTTGGGGCTTGAGAAGACTTCAGAAGGAGTAAGTTTGCTTGGTAAGGAAGGAGCCTATGGTAGGGACAAGTATGGACATGGCAAGTGTGAATGTCCAGCAGGTAATTAGACATGTGCAAGGCTGGACATACCCAGCTGGGGACTTAGAAGCTTCTAGAGAATATTAAATCCCTGAGGTGGGATGGATTCACCAGGACATAGAATGTAGTTAGAAAAGAGATTCATGGAAAGCCCTGGAGCCTGTAAAGTTTAGAAATTATAGAGCTATGGAGACTGAGAAGGGGAAATCACCAAGGTAGTAGAATGAGTGACTGTGACATCTTAGAAGGCAAACGAAGAAAGCACCAGATGCCACTGAAGGGCCAAGGTCTTATGAGGATGAGACTCAACCACCAGATACAGTCACCTCAAGGTCCTTTCAGAAGGATTGCAGAGGTCATGAATACAAATGACTCTTTGAGCTCTGCTATCCATGGCAGCAGCTGGGCTGGGGCATGGTGTTAAGATGGCCAACACAGGGGTCTGTGCATTGACAGCTGATCTAATGCAGGAGAGAGTGGGATGGATCCCTAGTGCACTCACTGAGTATGGAAGGGGAGGGTCATTCCAGCTGGCACCAGATGGGAGCTTTCCCAAGGATGAGGCATGTTCTGGCAGGGCAGGGGAGGAAGGATGCAGATGCAGGGCTGGGTGGCACTGGGGGAGGCTTGAGGGCCATGGCCAGAGATAGAGCAAGAAGCGAGCACATCTCCTCCTCTCTGGCCCAGTCCAGCTGCCCAGATACACAGGGAAGAGAGAGAACTGGATTTTACCAGGGATGGGATGACAATGTTAAGTACCACATGACAGGGATTTTTATGTGTCTGGCTCCCAGTGATCTCATCTAGCACTAGTCTAGGGTTAACATCCACTATCAGCTGATGTTAGGTAAAGGACACTATCCTGGATAATCTGAGTGGACTGCACCTAACCACACAAAGGCATTAAGAGCAAAACTGAATTCAAGGGTGCTCTACCACTGAGCTACATCCTCCCCGCTTTAAAATTTTGAGACAGGGCCTCACTAAGTTGCTCAGGCTGGTCTCAAACTTGCAATCTTTCTGCCCCAGTCTTCCAACTCTCTGATTTTTTCCCCCTGTAGGGACTCATAGTGATAAACTTCCCTCTTAGAACCACCTTTGCTGAACATGCCAAAAAAAAATTTTGGGGAAAAGATAGGTTTTTAAACAAATGTTGCTGGAAAAACTGGATATTCATATGTAGAGGAAGGAAACTAGATTCCTATCTCTTACCCTACACAAAAGTCAATCAAAGTGGATCAAAAACTTAGGAATTAGACCAGAGATTTTGAAACTTCTAGAAGAAAACACAGGGTCAGTATTCCATCATATTGATGCAGACACTGACTTCCTTAACAAGATTCCTAAAGCTCAAGAAATAAAACCAAAAATCAATAAGTGGGATGCCATCAAATTAAAAACCATCTATACAACAATGGAAATTATTAAGAGCATGAAGAGAGAGCCTACAGAATGGGTGAAAAATCTTTGCCAGATACTTTTCTGATAGGATATTAAAATCTAAAATATGGAAAGAACTCAAAAGGCTTAATATCGAAAACCAAAACAAACAAAAAAACCCAAACAAATAATCCAATTAATAAAAATCAGAGAGATTTCAAATAAATAACCTAATGATGCATCTCAAGGACTTAGAAAAACAAGAACAAACCAATACTAAGCCAGGAGAAGGAAGTAAATAATAAAGATCAGAGATGAAATAGAAAATAAAAGAACAATACAAAATGTCAATGAAACAGAGTGGGTTCTTTGAAAAGATAAATAAGGCGATAAACTCTTATCCCAACTAACCAAAAGTTAGATTCTATACCAACAGAGTAAGTATGGCTATCGTCATGAATAAAAACAATAATAAAATCTGGGGAGGATGCAGGGAAGAAGAAACCCTGATATATTGTTGTTGTTGGGAATATAAATTAGTATGGCCACAATGGAAAACAATATGAAAATTCCTCAAAAAGCTAAAAGTAGAACTACTGTATGACCCAGGAATACCATTTCTCAGTATTTATCTGAAAAAATTAAATTTAGCATACTTTAGAAATACATGCATACCCATTTTTTTAATGGTACAACTCACAAGAGCCGAGTTATGGAATCAGCTTAGATGTTTGTCAACAGATGAATGAATAAAGAACATGTGATTTAGATGTCTATCATATATGTGTATATATATCACGTTTTTCATGTAGCAGAGTATTATTATTCAGCTACAAGGAAGAATAAACTTATATCATTTTCAGGAAAAAGAATAGAACTGAAGATCTTTATGTTAAGAGAAATAATCTAAATTCAGAAAGACAAATACTTTATGTTTTCTTTTATATGTGGAAGTTAGACGGGAAAGGATGTCATGAATGTAGAAGAGAAACCATTAGTCTAGAAGAAGGGGATCAAAGAGAGAGCAGAAGGTGAGTACTGAGAAGTGAAATTGATCAATTTATGTTACATGCATGTATGAAGAGCCACAATGAAACCCTGTATTCTGTGCAATTATTATGCATCAATACAAAGTGAAATGTAGAGTTACCATATCACCGATCCTGTATGTGTACCTTAAAGAAATGAAAACATACATTCATGCAAAAATTCAGACACAGAATATTCATAGCAGTATAATTTATAATAGCCCCAAGTAAAAACAACCCAAACATTCCTCTATAAATGAATAGCTGAATACAATTTGATTCATCCACACCATGAAATATTATTCAGCAATAAAAATAAATGAAGTACTGATATGTGATATAATAAAATCTCAAAAAAAATTAGGTTAAAGAAGCCAGTCACAAGAGACCATATGGTATATGTTTCCATTAAAATAAAATGTCAAGAAAGATATAACTGGATCAGTGGTCGTCTAGGGCTTGAGGGGAGGGGAGGAGGGGAGCAACTACAAATGGGTATGAAGTTTTCTACTGGGTGATGAAAATGTTCTGAAGTTTGCTTTGGGTGATGACTTCATAATTTGGAACCTATCAAAAACCACTGAATTTTACACTTTATATTGTAAAGCTTAATGTATATAAATTGCATTTCAAGGTGTTTAAAATAAAGAACATACAAAGGGGGAAAAAAGAGCAAAACTGCGGGTTTAGTAAGAAGAAATTCTAACTTGGGTTGCCCCATAAACTTCTGTCTGAGCTTCCTATCAGTCCTGCAAATTAAATTTCAGATGTTCCCAGCCAGCTCCCACAATCACATAAACCAATTCCTTCAAATAAATCTCAACCTCTCTCTCCTCCCTCAACAACCCTACCTTATTGGTTGCTTTTTGGGAGAACCTTGACTGATACACATAATGAGAAGAAAAAGGGGCAAAGACAGGTAAAGGTTATGCAGGGGAGTAAGGGACAATGGAACCAATGGCAGTGAGCACAGAATGGGGTGAGGGGCAGTGGAAATGACTGCATGTATGAGTGGAATCATGAGTTGTTCAGGCTGGGATATTAATTAGAGGGTCTGAATTGAAGAAAAGAGGAGATGCCTACAACTGAGATTAAGGAGAAGATGTGTTTTCTAGAGGTGATCTAGGAAATGACAATGGGAGTAGAGGATGAGATCATTCTTTAAAGAGGCCAAGGAAGAGAGGCAAGGGTATTGGTAGGGTCATCTTCATGAATGCAGTCTTCACCAATGATAATGCTGGAAATGTGGTTGATGTAGTTGGCATTAGCCAGGAGATAAAATCATTACAGAATGATGAGGAGTCACCTGGGTAGCTGTGGGTAGCTGCCACAAGGAAGGGTTTGTACTGTCATCAATGTTGGAGAGGCTAAGGGCACAGAAAGGGAGGAAGGAAAGCATCTACCCCATCTCTAGGCCCTGAAGAGTAATTTATATAGCATGGGAGAGAAAGCACACATGGCTTTGCAAGAGTAGGATCAAGGAAGACATGTGACTTTAAATAGCACCAAGTTACATTTCATACTCTTCAGAATGGAAACACCAAAAAGTCTAATAATTAGGCCAATGTTGGCAAGGATGTAGAGCCATGGAGATCCTCCCACATTGCTGGTGGGAAATGACAAACAGAGCAAGCAGCTTTGTAGAGCAATTTGGCAACGTTTGATAAAATTAAAAATATTAATACGCTTACAACATGAATGAACCTTGAAAACTGATGTTAAGGGAAAGAAGCCAGTCACAAAAAGGTCACCTATTGGATGATTCTACTGCTATGAAATTTCCAGAACAGGGAGATCCAGCAACTGAAAAGCAGAGTGGTTGTCAGGGGCTAGTGGGGAGGGAATGGGAAGTCAGTGTACAGGATTTCCTTTTGGGGTGATAAAAATGTTTTGGTACATGACTTTGTGGATACAGTCAAAACCACTGAACTGCACACTTTATAATATGAAGCATACAGTATGTGAATTCTACCTTAATTGAAAGGAAGATGAACTCTGAGGCCCAGCATCTGCAGTCAGCACACTACAATACATGACATTTTTGGTAAAACTTTTGGTTTTACCAAAAGTTTTATTGGTACACAGACATATCTGGTCATTTAAGTAGGGTGTGTTGCTGCTTTTGCTCTCATGACGGAGCTGAGCTGCTGTGATGTAGATGCCAGTTATTCATTATGAATACTAGCAATGTGGTGTGTGTTAAACTCTTTCCTATATCTTTCAAAATAAAATCATTTCTCCCAAACAATTTGGTTGGTCTCTAAGCACAGGAAGTGCTATGGTTTCCCCTGAGTGTGTGTGGGAGATTGGCAAAGGTGCAGAGACCATTACCTCTTGGTTGCAGAGGTCACCCAGAAAGAACTGCACCCGGGGATTATCAAAACCTTGCCGGATATCGAATACGTTGACGGTGTAGCCCCTTGCAAGCAACTGCTCCACCATGTGCTGCCCCAGGAATCCAGAGCCTCCAATCACTGTGCAGTTATTAACCTACAGAAAGAGAAAATTGTCAGAAGAACCAGCATGGTGATGACCAGAAGCTAGTGGGAGGCTAGACTTATGTGAGCCACTGCAATGGCAGGTATGTTTGTTTGAAACTGTAAGCCCAGGGAGATGCTTTATATAATTCAAGTGTTCCATCATCAGTGCCACCTTCTCTGCTGGGACCAGCAAGAAGGAAAGACAGAGCAAATAGTATTAAAATAGAACTTGGTGGATTTGATGACAATTCTCATGCTTTGTATTTAGTGAAGGGAAATTAAACCACCTATGATCAAATCTGGATGATCTATTTATTTTTTTCCTCAGTGCTGAGAATGGAACCCAGGGCTTTGTGCTTGGTAGGCAAACACTTTACCACTGAGCTACATTCCCAGCCCCAACCTGGACAATCTAAAAGAAAAAAAAAAAAAAAGAAAAACAAAAAACAAAGATGATACTTTCTTGCTCCTGATATTTGATTCCTGGGCACTTCTCTAATACAAACAAAACAAAAACAAGAAACAAAAAGCCAGTCATTTAAGAGTTTGCACTTAAATCATCAGAAAGTAGCAGTCTCCATATTGATAGGACAAAGTGCCTTCTTGACCACAATAAGGCTTGGACTTGTCACCTAACCCCTTCCTGCTTCAGCTTAACCAATGAAGACCATCCCAGTGAGATCTCCTGGTAGCACTGCAGACACAATCAGACACCTGCTTGGCACCCAGGCCCATGGCTTTGCTTCCCTTCTCTGAATTCTGAAGAGCTGACAAATTAGGACTAAGCTGTGATGCTTACATCTCAGCCTCCCAAGTGTGCCCAGATTCTTGGCTAAATTACAACTCTGGGAACTGGAGATAATGGAAGGACAAAGCACTACATGCAGACACATGCATATTTGAACTCCAGGCTGTCAATGCAAAGTTGTTGCTGTTGCCTGCTGAATATGTTGGCTATAAGTGTCCCCAAAGATGACGTGTGATATTCTTCCTTCCTAGGATACTGCCAAAATTATATCTGGGTTTCTTTTCAACATAATAAACCCCCATTTTCCTTAGTTTATATAGAATATATCAAAGTTGAATGTGTGAAACTAAAGACTTTAAAGAATTTCTGTTCTGATTAAAAACCAACCAACCTCCCTACTTATTCCTTAAACATCAACACAACTGAGCTATGTGAAACTCAGGGAATGCCAGGGCCAGCCACCTTCTACAGATCTGCCTCTCTCCCAGTCTGGGTGTTCTATCTGAAATGGCACTTTTACTAGATTCCACCAGACCTACCTAGAGATAGCAGCACAACTTTACCATCATTTGTTCTTGTATAATCCACTGACATAACTGGCCTCACCATTCAAAACCCAAAAAGTAGGGCCGGGTGTGGTGGCATATAGCTATAATCCAAGTGGTTTGGAAGGCTGAGGCAGGAGGCTTGCAAATTCAAAGCCAGCCTCAGCAATGGCAAGGCACTAAGCAACTCAGTGAGACTCTGTCTCTAACTTTTCTATATACTGTTTCCTATGCTAGTCTACTAGGAAGCCCCATCTAGCCTACTGCAGGCAAACTGAACTGCCTGACCAACAGCCAACAGTTAACTGCCAAAAAGGGCATAAGAGGCACCCTGGGAACACACACCTCAGGGGTCCTCTGTGTGCCTGCTGCTACACAAGTGAGCCTGGGCAAGACAATCCCCTAACTGTACTCAGCTCAAATCACAGAGTTGTGAATAAAGGAACTGTTGTTCTTTCAAATCACTGTATTCTAATATTGTCTGGTACACAGCAGTAACAGATACATCTTAAATATGTGTATCTTGTTAAAAATACCTGCATTTCATTGATGTAATAAATGTAATAAATGCATATTGCAGCCTAGAGGTAAACATCAGTGTCTTGCTGGTAAGTATGTACTCGACATTTTCCCTACCCGACTTTAGTTAACCTTTTTATGCCTGTACTTACCTTGGGAATGTCCTCTATCACATGGGTCCGCGTGACCTGTTCTCTCACTGGCTCTCCAACTGCTTGTTCCATTATGGCTCAAAATATGGTCTTGTTTACACTCAACTTTTCTTCTTCCTGAAGACATATTTAGAGATAGATACTAATGTTATATAAAGCATGCCATCCCCATTTCAATTGCTGTTTTCACAAATAGTTGAACTGCAACTATAGCTGTTGGCTGAAGCAGTCAGTTCATGTTCCGGTGATGAAAGTTGCACTCTTAGGGTATGGCAGGGCTCATAACTCCATATACTTGGAACACAGGCACAGTGGGAAGTCAGTTACATGATCTCATTTACCAGTTAGGAAAATAAGAACATTGTGTTGTAGCTTTTGCCACATGCCAAACATACTTTAATCATTTTTGCTTTCTCTTGGGGTACTTGTTAGATGGTGGCAGTGCACAGGCCTAGGGAATCCTGGATTCTGGCCCTGGTCTTGTCATGAACATCACAAATCTGCTCAAGTCATTCCTCTTTGCTGTGACTCTGTTTGCCCATCAATGAAAGGGATTTGTGTGCTCATGCCTATGATGTCAGGGCATGGGATGCTGGGCAGGTGGTGGGCAGAGTGTAATAAGAGACAGAACTCTCTTGATGTTAGGTCAAAGCCATCTTGACTTTGGGTGAAAGAACTCAGAGTGTCTGAAACCCTCAGGAAATAATCAGAGCATGGCAGGGACCAACCAGCTCAAAACCAGGAGAGAATAGTGACAAAGTCCAACCATGTTACCACAAGTACAACTCTTAGGGTATGCTTCCCTCTTCCTTTACATACAATATGGAATTGCCAACACAATTCATTTATGAGATGTTTATTCTTGCATCTCTGTTTCCTTTTTACTGGCCTGTGAAAGCTTAGATTCAGAGAACACTATTTGAGTGAAGAGGTGGCAGACAGGTGGCCAGCATCATATCTCAAACATTACAATTTCTCTAATCTGATCACACACCTGGAGTTTCACACCCACCCCACCCCACCCCCCGCCACCATGTTCAACAAGTGGGCTAACATGTGTCCCCAAAGGAGCTGATTATGTGAGTGTATGGATTTTGTGGGAATATGGAAGGATGAAGTGGCCTTGAAATGGATGTTTGGACTCTCAATGTCTGATGGGGCCATTTGAGGTGCACAGTTCTCTGAACTCATAATGGAAGTTATTAGAAAAATGTATTTCAAAGTTTGACTATGCCTGGGCCTTAGTACAATACATCCAATGAAAAAGCAAAGTCAGTCTGCAGTTCTTTGCTTTCTATGACCCCCCCTTTATCCCATAGTGCCATGCACACTGGCTGGGGCCCTGTCATCTGTTTATCCCAAATGCATATAGGTAAAATTTGACTCATTTGGCTCAATGTATAATAGGACCAGAGTAAATGGAAATTGGATTTTGGTACCTTGTTCCAAAAAACCTCAGAGTCTGAGCTGTCTTTTTTGGTGTTGTATCACAGGCACGCAGCCCAGTACCAAGTGGGCACCTGTGTGTCTGCCAGACTCATGGCTATGTATGTGTATATGCACACACCTGCACAGAGCCCCTGCTGCTCAACATCACCTACAGAAATTCTCATCTAAACTTCCATCTAGGAGCTCTGTTAGGCATCTGGTTTTGTTTGTACTATAATCAAAATATCCACTGATTCTCAGGGAAAGACAAGCAAACAGGAAGGCATATGACATCTATGGGGTAAGGACATTCCCCCACCCCAATCCAACTTCGGACCCTGCCAAGGTCATTATTGACCTCTGTTAGGAAGAGGTCTGAGGATGGGGCCATGATGGTCTTCTGCTCAGAAGCTTGCAGGATCCAATGACAGGGCTAACCAGGCTATGTTGGCCCAAGACTGGAGGCCTTGGCTCCTCAAAATCTCTGCTCCCCTTTGCTGCCTATGAAAAGCATAAATTACCCAACTCTTCAACACAGTTGGCAATACTTTAATGAATCCAGAGCTGCATGAGTTCAAATCCCAGCTCAGATTCTTACCAACAGGATGCCCTCTGGAGAGTTATTTGAAGATCTGTGCCTGCTTCCTCATCTGGAAAGTGAATAGCCTCATAAGATCACTATAAGGAGTAAATGAGAAAATGCATGCAACACCCTCAACACAGTGCCAAAGAATGTGACCACACCATTAAAGACCACTATTACTATCATCAGAAATGTTACTTCCTCTGCAGTACCCCACCTCCTTATTGGTCATCTTTGAATTTTTCCATTGCTTTATACCTCTGCTGGGTAAACAGCTTCCAGGCCTCAACAAGCCCATGCTGCCTAATGGGTATACTTTGTAAAGTATATACACAGAATGTGAAAAAGGAATAACACAGGGCTGGGGTTTAGCTCAGTGGTAGAGTGTGTGCTTAACATGCTCAAGGCCTGGGTTCCATCCCTAGCACACACAAAAGAATAAGACAGATTGAGACTTACAAATTTGGGTAGAAAGAGGTATGACCCCCCTTTCTTCCACCTCTTCAAAGAATAACACAATGAATGACCTAAATATGCTTTATTCAGTTCTTAATTAAAGCAAAAGATTAGATTTAATCATCCCTCAGCCATGTGAAGACACTGCTGAACTATTACAGAGGGGTGAGTGGTAACCCCCTGAAGATGTGTTTCCATTCTAATCTCTGGAACCTGTGAATGTACCCTGATTCAGAGAAAGGGCCTTTGTGGAAGTAAAGATGATGAGGAGGTTATTCTGGTAGGCCCTAATCCAGTGACAAGACACAAAGAGAAGAGACACAGAGAGAAGAGGAGGATGCCAGGAGAAGATGAATACAGTGACCAGAATGAAGTGGCCATAAGTCTAGGAAAGCCTGGGGCCAGCAGAAGCTCAGAGAAGCAACAAAGGAGTCTCCCAAAGAGACTTTGGAGAGAGTCAGGTTAAAGAATATCAAGAGTAGCTCTGATCCAACAGACATTTATCTGAAGAAGATATACTTCTCAAGATGGCTCATGAGTACTTGAAACATTGTTCAACATCACTAATCATTAGGGAAGTAAAATCAAAACCCCAAGGAGAGACCACCTCACATCCATTAGGATGGCTATTATCCAAAAGTCAGTCAGCAGAAAATAATAAGTGTTGATGAGGATATGGAGAAACTGGAACCCTCATGGCATGCTCATAGAATTTTCCTGGTATGTAAAGTGGTGTAACTGTTGTGGAAAACAATATGGCAATTACTCAAAAATTAAACATAGAATTACCATATGAGGCAACATTTTCACTTGTGGGTATAGACCCCCCAAAATGGAAAGCTGGCACTGCCTACCCTAACCCTAATCCTATCTGTACATCCATGTTCATAGCAACATTATTCACTATCAGACAAAAGGTGAAAGCAACCCAACCCAAATGTCTTTTGATGGATGATGAATGGTTAAACAAAAGTGGTGTATCTATACCATGGAATATTATTCATCCATAAAAAGGAATGAAGTTCTGATGCAGGCTACAATATGGATAAACTTTGAGAACATCATACTAAGTGAAATAAATAACCCAGGCACAAAAGAACAAATGCTGCCTGGTACCATTCATGTGAGGTACCCAGAGTAGGCAAATAGAGACTGACTGACAGTTGCCAGGGGCTGTGGGAGGGGGCATGGAATGACTATTAATGGGTATAGGGTTTCAATTTGCAGGATAAGAAGAGTTCCTAGCTGGATGGTAGTGAGGGTTGCACTATGATGGGAATGTATTTAAGCCACTGACATGTACACCTAAAAATGGTTAATGTACATTTTCAGCTATGTCTATTTTACTACATGTTTACATTGAAAAATAGCTCTAAAGTATTGAATATAGGACCCTCAATGAGCAAAGTTCTAGGGGCTTATACATCAAAAGCTTCTATGAATCCATTAAAAATCAGGATGTGCACTCCCCATTTCCACTGGAACAGAGTCTTAGGCTAATAATGATTTAAGAAGAGAGATTCATCTTGTACTGGTGAAACTCAAGCTCCTTGCTCCACTTTTGGGCTGCTGACAGGATTTGATGAAGAGAGCAAGATAGCCCTGATAGTTCCAGGTCACTGACTCCTAGAGACAAAAGGGACAGTGTGTTTCAAACCAAACAAAGAGAGATGAGTGCCTCCACCTTTTAAAGGAGTGTAGTGCAGGAAGCAAGAACTTGGCCACCAGGAGCTCATCACTGTAATCCACAGGCAGGTAGTACCCACTTGGAGGAAGAAACAAGAACAGGATTCCAGGCAAAATATACTCCCCAAAAGGACTCAATTAGTAGAGTGTGGCCCTCCAAGAAAAGCAAAGTAACATTTCTCAGATCTCTGTTTGGAATCCTGGTATGGGAACTGAGTCTCAGATTATAAAGGAGGACTCCCTGTCTCCCCTCCCTGCTCGCTTCATGCTCAGTACCCTGGTGATACTGGGTTTAAGGATCTAATGAAAAGAGAGGGATTCTCCTGGTGCTGGTGCATGCTTTCATTATGGATAAGTTTCTTTGAGAAAGTATTGCAAAGCAGGAGCCCTGTGCAAACAAATGTAAGGTCTCCCCTTTCACAACTCCAAGATGTGATACAGGGGAGAAACCATGCAGATTAGGACCAGTGAGGCCAGCAGCTAGGTCTTTAGAGCTCTCAGGTGAGCCATTACTTCACTGGTACAATCTGACTTGACTTTGACTTTCCCAGACCTCAGGGGTGTGTGTGTGTGTGTGTGTGTGTGTGTGTGTGTGTCTTTTAGTGCTTCCTATTCATGGTGTGTTTCCCTCATCCTTCAAGCTCAATTGCCCCCTCTGGAAAGCTCTGTCCCCCAGCACCTGTTGATGTTCTCATCCTGGGTTCAAGTGACAACTGAATGACCCTGTTGCTGCTGGTTAAGAGTCCTCATCTGCCTACCTCAGAGCTTCTGTGGGGCTTAAGCAAGGTTAAAAGTGGAGGCTCATTCACAAGTCACTGACTACTAGCCACCATCAGGCAGATGCTGCATAAAAGACAACCTCAACCTTCAAGGAGGCCACCTTCTCATGTGGGAGACAGGAAGCTATAAAGAATTACAGAAGTATTTTTGAGCCTCAAGGAGGGTAAGACCAGACCACCAATATAGGATGCTGGGTCAGTAAAAGTAACCCCAAAGCTGAGTTGTAAGGCCCCCAAAGAATGAGTCAAACAAGATGGTGGCAAAGATCCAGCATATTCTGATACCTGACAAGTTGTGTCACGGCAAGTGTGAAGTAAGACTAGGAATAAAGTTGACAACATACAGGGGCTATGTGACCCTGAAGTTGTAGGCGGGGGTGTGGGTTATGATCAGATCACTCAGGCTGTACAGTGAAGAGATTTTAGCCAAGCCTAAGGGCCCCAGGCATGCCAAGTAGTGAAAATCATTAGAACATGTCAGAGAAAAGAACTTAGTATTGCCTGGAGACCTGCTAAATGTCAGACTCTTTTATATATGAGTATATTATTCCGTTAAGATCCAAAAAGTAAGCTGGGCATGGTGGTGCATGCAATCCCAGTGGCTCGGGAGGCTGAGGCAGGAGGATTATGAGTTCAAAGCCAGCCTCAGAAAAAGCAAGGCACTAAGCTACTCAGTGAGACCCTGTCTCTAAATAAAATATAAAACAGGGCTTTGGATGTGGTTCAGTGGTCGAGTGCCCATGAGTTCAATCCCCAGTACCAGAAAAAAAAGGTTCAAAAAGTATCTAGTAAAGCAGACAGCATTGGTTTTACTCAACAGATGAGAAACTGAGGCTCAGAAATCAAGGGACTTGCCCAGGGTCACACAGTTGGCACAAAACCCAGATAAAACTTGTGTTCATCTCTTCTGTGTGAGGCTGCCACCCTGTGGACTGGGAAATAAGGTGTGTCAGTCAGCTTTCCATTACTCTAACAAAACATTTGAAATAATCAACTTAAAAAGAGGAATGGTTTATTTTGACTCACAGTTTTGGAAGTTTGATGTCAGTTTCTTGACCCTGTTGCTCTGGGCTTGTCATGAGGCAGTCGGTACAGATGGCAGAAGTGTGTAGTGAAGGAGGCAGATTAGCAAAGAGATAGAGAGGAAGGGGCAGGGGCTCCATATCCTCTTCTACAGTACATCCACAATGATCTGACTTCCTTTCCTAAAGGTTCCACTACCTCCCAACAGTGATACAGGCTGGCAACCAAGACTTCAGCACAAGGGCTATGGAGGGAAAGCTGGAAGCATTCGAAGGGATAAAAGAGCAGGAGGCTTTTATGAACTTTACTTCACAGTTATGGGAAGCCTCTGAAGGGCACTGACCTGATAAGAGCTGTTAACTGGGAGAATTCATCTGGTGGAGCAGGGTGGAATAGATAGGTGAGAGGTAGGAAACAGGAGGCTACTGGTTAGTTGTTTGACACAGGTTTACTAAGTCCCTATATGTGCCCCTCCCTATTCCATGGACTGGAGCATCAACAGTGAACAAAACAAAGATGTCTGCCCTCAGGGAGCCTGCCTTTTAGTGGCAGGGCAACAAAGAACAAAACAAATAAAACTGACAGTTGGTTACAAGGTAATAAGTACTATGGGGAAAAAAGTAGAGTAAGGTGAGGGAGTGTACTGAGGGTTGCAGCACTAAACAGGGTGCTCAGGGTAAGGGTGGTCTCACTGAGAAGAGAGCTGAGTGAAGACCTGGAGGAAGAAAAGATGTGGGCACAGAAGACAGAAGGGACAGTTGGGACAAAAGTTCAGTGCCTGGCATTTGACGCCCAACAACAAAACCAGCATTCTGGGTCTGAACTGAGCCAGGATAGAGGAAAAGAAGACCAATTGTGGGGATGATGGTTGCGGGGCACATCATGCCAGGTTTGCATATCGTGATGAGAACTATGACTGCGACTAGTTGGGAGGCTGAACATGAAGTCTTGAAACGCAGCAGGGGCAAAAAGAGAAAGAAAGGGCATTTCAGCGGCAGTGCTGTTTGAACTTGGAGGCTCAATATGTGGTAGGGGACAAGAAAAGTGTCAAATATAACTGAAAGCTTTTAAACCTGAATCACTGCTCAAGAGGCAGAAGTTCCACCTGTGGGGTGCTAATAAGCCCCAAGCCTTTGTCAGCCAATAAATTTATATTCTGTCCTCAACTTGCCTAAATTATTGTCCCACTGCTTGGAGGGGAAGCAATGAGCTAGTTAAGGAGGCACGGGTACAAATTCATTTCTGCCATACCCTTGCATGTGCTCTTTTTTAATTTTCCAAGCCTGCGACACATTTCCTACACTCCTGTGACTTTGTTCATGAGGGTGTCTTGACCTATGACGCTCCCCTCTGTCTACATTGTGAGGGTGGTTGCCAAACAGGATATTTTGAAGACCTCTCAGGCTTCTCACACTTGCTATTATCTTCTTCACTCCATTAACAGTATGTTCCCAAGGTCCTCCGCTCACTATCCTGGGCTGGTTTTACCCAGGTCAAAACTAAAATGATTCTTCCGTGAAGGCACACTTTTAAAGAAAAAAAACTTTGGCTGAATTAGATTTTTAAGTCCCAGAGGTCTGACCCTTGACAACAAAGCTCAGCACGCCTCTTAACCTTTCCTAGTCTCAGCTGCCGGGTGAATACAGTTCCCATTCCCACTTGTAAGTTCACGTCTTTTCTGGCCCCTCTGATGTTGGGAGTCCCTCACTCAGTCCTAGGCAGACCAGAACCCCCCACCCCCGACCCGAACCGCCCCACTCAGCCCCTCGCCCTCCTGCTCGGTCCAGCTGCAGACACAAGACGGCCCCCCAAAGACAAGGTCATGACTCTTACCCGTCTGTCTGTAGGCGCTCTCTCAGCCTGCCTCCGCTTGTCCGTGGCCTACACCCACAGAGTTGCAGCTGCCGACCACCACTCTCTTTTCCTAGCCTGCATGAGCTGAGAATCAGCCGAGTTTCCTCCACCAACGGGATTGGTCCGGTTCGGCATAGGATCAGCCAATGGACGTTTGTAGCGTGATCTTGCCCAATGAGGATAAGTCTTAGTCGTCAGCACACCGCCCCTTGCCCTGATCCTGGGCCTTGCCGGGTTAGCCCCACCTACTCCGGCCCTATGCCAATGGGAACCCGGGGCGCGCGCGCGCAGGACGGTGGGAACAGCGGGCACCTAATCTGTGTGTACGCCGTTGCTGTAACAACCAACAGTGGAGTTCTTTTGCAATGGTGAGTACTGGCCGCGCGGCCACTCCGCGCGTCCCCAGATTGAGCCCTTCCCAGGCCCTTGTCCCGCCAAGCCGCCTCTCCTGCGCCTTGCTTGGCTTTGGCGCACCCGTTCTTCCTTTGAGCTCTATCCCGGAAGGGTAGGGTAGAGACTAGAGCCGCCCGCCGCCCCTCTGGGCCTGCGCTTAGCTATTGTCCCCCAACCCCCCTCCACCCACAGCTGGCCTCTACACGGCCCTTGGGCTCCTCTGACCTTTCCGAAGTCCCTCGGTGACCCTCCATATGCAAAGAAGACTCAAGTTCCCCTTAGGCCCCAACTCCTTTCAGACCCTGGCTTCCTGGCCACCGGCTTTAGTTAAAGTTTTTCCATAGAACTGGCCAGGTGGTGTATTGTTCTGATTGTTAATCCATATTTTGCAATTTAAATATGGGGCACTCAGGAGGTGCTTCCATCTTCTTGGAAAAGGAATGAAGGTACTGAATGGATTGGGTTTTATGGCATGATATTGACAGAATACATATCTTAATAATATTTGGGAAAATTTAGAAGTAATTGGAAAATTCAGAGTCTTCTTGGGAACCAGTACTGTAAGTGGGTGCATCACGAAAATCAGAGTTAGTTGAGCATCTCTAGTTGTTCACAGTCAATTCCTTGGCTAGCTGTTTTTCTGGATGATTTTTAAGATCAAGGTATCTCTTTGCTTCTAACTACACTACTAAACAAAAGAGAGGGGATGGGAGAAGATACAGACGAAATTATATTGTTATATTGTGTGCAAGTACAAATTTGTAACAATGAATCCCACCATTGTGTATAATATGGAGAAAAGAGGTCTCAAAAAAAAAAAAAAAGAAAAAAAACCATGAAAGAAGGAGGGGGGGGGGTAGAGGTTCATGAATAGATTCGTTGTTCTTTCCAGTAAAACTTCCTCTTTTTTGTTAAGCAGAGCTTTAAAATTGGTATAAAATATTTTTAAAATATACATGGGTGTCTGTAACTATCTTACACAAAATAGGTACTGTATCATACTCATGTGTTTGTATAATGTTTAAAGGCCTCCAATTTTAAGAAGGCAAATATAGCGTCAAGTGCCCAGCGAAAAAGGATGAGTCCTAAGCCAGAGCTTACTGAAGACCAGAAGCAAGAAATTCGGGAAGCTTTTGATCTTTTTGATGCTGATGGAACTGGGACCATAGATGTTAAGGAACTAAAGGTAAGCTCTACATTTTTTTTCTACTCTACTGGCTTTCCTCCTCCTTGTCGTTTTCTTCTCACTACATGATCCCTTGGACCCTCTTCTCCCTGCAGAAATTAATGGGAGGATGTACTGTGTTTTTTTCCCCTGCTTTTACTTACCTCAAGTGTTATTCAGTAAAGATGATTGCAAATATCAGTTAGATCTACGTTAATGTGTTCTTCAATCACTTTAATATTATTGTAGCAGTTATTTTTGCCTCTGCTTGGCTTCCATGTGCTTATTGAGATGATCCTGTTTTAATTATAGGTGGCAATGAGAGCCCTGGGCTTTGAACCTAAGAAAGAAGAAATCAAGAAAATGATAAGTGAAATTGACAAAGAAGGGACGGGAAAAATGAATTTCAGTGACTTTTTGACTGTGATGACTCAGAAAATGGTAAGTTAACTAAGATAATCAGCATGTTGTCCACCATAATGGCAGATACATTTAAATGTACATTTAAACATGACTTCACTGAAGAAAAGTCAGTCAGTAAAATCTGGAGAGTTTGCCTGATAAATGATAGTATTTTCAACTGAGAAGTTGGATGCTTGAGTTTTACTTGGTTTTTTTCTTTTTTTTTTTAATTTAATTGATTTTATTTTTTAAATACACGACTATGGAACACATTACAATTCTTATTACACACAAAGCACAATTTTTCATATCTGTATATAAATATGTTCACACCAATTCATGTCTTTATACATAAATTTGTTTTTTTTGGCATTACAATTCTTATTACACTTATATACCACAATTTTTCATATGTCTGTTTACTTGGCTTATTTCAAGGTCACAAAGTTAAGAAATCATTTTACCCTCTGTAAAGTAGTAGAAGTTCAGCTGCTTTCATTTTTTGGCAATTATCCGTCTTTAGCTGATGGGATAATGACAAGAAGAAAACCTGTAAGCCCTGACAGTTTTAAATACTTATCATTTTAACAAAACAAAACCCATATACTTTAACATTCAGAACCCTTCTCTCCAGTTTTTATTCTGGGCAACTCAGGCTAAGGGTACTTACTTCAGCACCTGTGCTTTCTGCTGCAGTGAGGATATGTTTTACCAGCACATCTAAGGTTGCACTCATCCATTCTCTAGTTTCTCAGGTGTCACCCTTTTAAATGACCCAAAGGGTCAAGAGAACATAAGCTATTCTCACTGGGCCAACATCTAAGGCCTTGTTCTTTCATTGACCACCTGGCTCCTTAATGTGGCTCATCTTCTCTCTGTTTGCCTGTATATAGGTTACCCTCTATTATCCTAGGTGTGTTTCCAAGGGCGCAGGTCTTACCTCTTTCTCTGCCAATTTTGTTTCTTTGAAATAATCTAGTCATGCCTATGTTTTTCTTTGTGGACTAATATAGGAGATCAGAAGACTCAACATTTTGTAGCCACCTAGTAAAGCTCTCCCACATTCAAAGTAAGTTCCCAGATTGCTCTTATTAGGGGCTCTCTCCATTTATAGCTATTGGCAGGTACCTTTTGAAATATTTGGGCTTTAATAACTCTGCAATATAATGAGTAGAATAACCTCTCTTTCTTCCCTGCCTGTTCTTCCACCTCAGCAGTGTATTTTCCCTAATTTTAACTCTACCCACTGCTCCTTTAATTTAAAAATGAATCCTGTATCTCCTTAGTTTATATAAATAACCTTTTAGGTATAATCTTTTATATTTTTAATAATTTTTTAGTTGTCAATGGACCTTTATTTTATTTACTTATATTCAGTGCTAAGAATCAAACCCAGTGCCTCACACATGCTAGGCAAGTGCTCTACTACTGAGCCACATCCCCAGCCCTATATTTTCTTTTTTTTAAAAAATATTTTTAGTTGTAGATGGACACAATATCTTTATTATATTCATTTATTTTTATGTGGTGCTTAGGATTGAACCCAGTGCCTCATATGTGCAAGATAAATGTTCCACCACTGAGCTACAGCCTCTGCCCCTATATTTCCTTTTTAACCTCTAGGTTTTTAATAATTTTATTAAATTTGTCCTCTTTTTCTATCCTGGCTTATATTTGCTCTCTGCAACCTAGGACCTATGTCATGAAGGCAATCATTGAGACCATAGGGTAAAGTGGGGAGAGGAGGGTAGAGGGGTTAAGGAATGAATCCAACAAGCAAGTTCTCTTGTAAGTTCCTCCTTGGCTTCAGAATTGGGGAAAGTTCTGAACAAGAGACAATTAGTGGCAGCTGGTGTAGATGTCTAGTGTTACTTGGTGCTGCACATTAAAAAGCCTGGCCTTGGTTTGCTGCAGAAGCCTACAGCTTCTACCTATGGTAACAGTACTTTAGGCCCCCAAAACAAGTCCTCATGTCTATTCCTCAAAGACTCTTGGCTTATTGCACCAAGCAGATAGTTCTTTCCACTGAATTCTGAAGCAGTTATGAACTAGATATGGGATAGGGCAGTAGATTAGGAGGCAATGTCACCTCAGATTGGAGAACATGGCTTGTCTAGCTTCCTATTGCCCCATATCTAGACTCATGTTATGCTGTTGGAAAAGACAGAGTGAGTGGGCTGCAGGACATGACCAGCTGTGGTAATTTCTTACTCATGTATTTTCTGTTCTACTTGTTAAGTCTGAGAAAGATACCAAAGAAGAAATCCTGAAAGCTTTCAAGCTCTTCGATGATGATGAAACTGGAAAGATATCATTCAAGAATCTGAAGCGCGTGGCCAAAGAGTTGGGTGAGAACCTGACTGATGAGGAGCTGCAGGTCTGTAATACCTGAGTGTAGAACTAAGAATTCCTACCTTTGAGCCCTCTAGCTTTTCTGGGTTCCATTTTATCTGGTGGGAGCACATCTTTGAAGGAAAGCTAGTGTCTTCTTGTCCCTCTACTGACAACTTAATTCTCCTTTGTGAATGTGACACACCTTATGAACCCTGCTTCCAGAAAAACACATATATGCTTTTTTATGTCTAGTTAAGGTGATCTTCAAGGTCCCCTCCAATTGATATGTATGACAATGTGTGACTTGATTTTCAAATAATTTATTAGGAATAATTTTAAGTATTTATCTATCATATCTGCTTAGGTAAACTGCAGTCATGCTTTCACATAACATTTTTAAAAGCCCATTGCTTAATCACCTTTTAGTTAATTAATTAATATAACCTGAATCCTTACTGTCATGCAGGAAATGATTGATGAAGCTGATCGAGATGGAGATGGAGAGGTCAATGAGCAGGAGTTCCTGCGCATCATGAAAAAGACCAGCCTCTATTAACTTCAGTGTCTTCTGTTCTACTGCAAGCACACGTGACTAGATTTAGTGCCTGCCATTGTGTGAAATCTGGCTTTTGAGAACACAACCCCCCACTATCCTGTATAACTTTCCTCATGACCTTGAGTCTATTTTAGATTTTTGGAAGAAGTCTTTGATATTAAAGTTCTTTGTAAAATGACCTACCAATTACTTTAATTCTCAAAAGCAGAATGAGAGCACATTAGAGTGGAGAAAAGGGGCTTAAAGTTTGACTACCTGCCATTTCACCTTGCATTGCTTCACTT